TATCAATTTATTAATTTATTAGATTTGCCAGTGCTTTCCTTTTCAAGAAGAAAGAAATTAAAACGGAGGATATTATATAACTCAATCACTTCCACTTTCATGCACTAATTAATTAGTACTAATCAAATCAATTAATTACAATAATCACGATAAGCATGGTGAGGGTGTCGTTGATAATTGATCTATACAAATTAATCCTACTAAACTAAATCTAGTAATTTAGATATAAGCTATATAAACTAATATTTGATCTATACAAATTAATCCTACTAAACTAAATCTAGTAATTTACATATAAGCTATATAATTAAACTAATATCTGGTCATGTGCACATGTATAAATACAATTAAAATTTTATGTCTTATATTTGTGTTGTGTGTAGCATTTAAAATCATAAGTTAAATAATTAAAACATCAAATTTTATAAAACTTATCATTGATATTGAATAATATGAATATAAACTATTTAACTTACACATTACTCTTTATATTGATCGCAATACTGCAATTTTTGCAATTTCAGTTGATTATGACAAATTAATTAAATAAAATAATATTAAAATTATATTATAGCTAGCAATTGTCTACAAAAATTGTACCTAACAGAAAACCGTGGTAATATTCTGTTCTATTTTTCTTTTCTTTATTGCAACAAATTAAATTGGCACCTTCGTCTTGTCTTCCTTTGCTTTTATTCTATTATTTATTTATTTTTTTCTTTTTTCTTAATTTCATGGGTGGAGAGGAGTGGCGAAAAGGTTGTTAATTAATAATTATACAATTATTAATGAATGCGAACCATTTGGTTAGTCAAAGAGTCCTCAATTTCAAAATTGTGATTAGTAGTATAGACTTCAAAATTAAAATACTACTAATTAATTAATAATTGTTATATTGGTTTTGTTGCCATTAGATTTTTTTTTATGGAGTCATCTATCATTTAATGTATTGATATATGTCTAAAGTATATTTATTGCAAGACACATGTCAATACACCATTTGTAAATAAGTATGAATAATTTCATAAGCCGAGCCATCCGATGACTCCATAGCAAAATTGTTGTTGCACCTCGTTTATTTCAAGCATGAACAAGACATGATATGTAATCCACGCATATATATTTTTAGGCAAAAAATAAATAAAAGGACACTGAAAATTTAAATTTATCTTCCGTATTAAATTATGGAGGAAAAAATAGTTATTATTACCACCTAATTACTTGTAAATTGAAAAAAATGAAAGGGCTAGATTCGGTAGGTAAGAGTTCCCCCTCACAAATATATTAAAGTGTATCCAAGTATTATCAGATACTATATTAATATGTGATACCAATTGTAACACGGCGCTAGCTTATAAAATCAGAGTAAAATCTTCACAAATTTTTTTTCTAAAATACTTATTAATTTGCGAAATCATAATTCGGGATGCTACTAAGAAACCTTTCTATCATGAAAATCCATTATCCTTTCTAAGTTAAACGTTTTAAGAAAAAACGAATTATTTTTAAAACAAACAAGCATGTCACACTGTACAAAATCCGACCGATAAAAAGCTGGAAATCAACATGCAAGTTTGAAAAGCTAAACGTGTCAGCGGAAATAAAACGTGGCAAAACATATATATACAGAACAAAAGTCTGCAGAACAACATGTAATCAAACCCACGACCACCGGCCCAGCTCACTCCTCTAGACCGACCTTGTGACCTGAAAAAGATAATATAGTGGGGGCATGAGCACTAAAAAACCACTGTGCTCCGCAGAAACTCATGATGAAGTAAAAAAGTAATAATAATTGCAATATCATGATCAATGGCATATATATAATCTGAGTCTATGTCCATGACTGGCTGATCAACAGTATATAAACTGCTACTGGATCAGATACTAAATATGTCGGCTGTATCCGGACCCATGTGCACACCCTAGTGGGCAGATTACGCCACTAGAACTCAGAATGGATTTACGGCACCTGATTCAGCCACCATTCTAAGCGGAAACTGGATATACATACCTTGAACATGTTAGTTGTAATTATACTCAATGTAATACTTAGTCTGAGTCCCCACCTGGATTGCTGGTTTGAAACTGTAAGTGCTGCTGGCTGATCAAACTGTAAAAATATATAAATAAACAAATACTAAGTACTATGTTCAGACTGACTGAAAATAACTGCTAAGATGCTCGACTCGAACTAGATATTTAACTGGAACAATCTCGAGTTCTAACTTGACTGACAATAAAACTGGACTGAACAGGTACTGATATACTGAACTGACTGGACTGAAAATTTAACTGAAAATCTGGACTGAACTCGGATCGAGTCACTAAGTCCTGAACTGCTCAGTTGACCGGTCTGAACCGGCCGGTTCATTGGCGGCCGACCGCCCGGCCAATATTAATTGCAGATAAAAGATTAGTCTGTTAATTAATTTTAATTTTGTGGACTAATTAGCCAAAAAAAAAATCCAACGATATAATAAATTTAGGGCAATGTTACATGTACAATTGTAGTTTACAACATTGGTTGACAACTTAGTTAAAAATATCATTAACTAAAATTTTAATCATACATTTAATTGTGTCTCAACCACCCACATTATGCCACATCATGTTGTCATTGAATGTTGTAAAAAAAAGTTATACAAGTAGCTTTTTCCATAAATTTATGAGTAATGCTACATAGCCTACTTAGATGATAACTTGGATTACAACTCAAGTATAAATGCATTATTTTTTAATTTTTTGATAATACAATTACACTTGTGTTGTAACCCAAGTTGTCATCCAAATAGACTAAATAGCATTACTCTAAATTTATTATTCATGACTATCATCACTCAAGTAAAGGAACAAGTTGAAGACATTTTGGTTAGCTAAGGATGAAATAAAAAATTGAAAATTGACTCAGTTGACTAGTTTCAAAACTATATAATTTGTAATTTTTTTTTATTAAAATTATGCATGTATATATTTAATAACTAAATAAAATTAGCAATAGGTTTTAGACTGTTTTACTCTATAGTATTGATTATGTGTATAAATTTATCACCTATCAACAGCTGTAAACGAGCTTAGTCGAGCTCCAGCTTAAAGTGCTTAAACTCGAGCTCAAGCTTTTAACGAGTCGAGTTGAGCTAAACTCGTTTAATTTAACAGAACGCTATGAGTCAATATTGGATTTTTGGCCGTTGGGTGAGCAACTATCGAAAGGAAATTAAATAATGGTATAAAATTCAGCGACCAATAACCATTATCAACGGCAGGTTTATTGGAAGATCTTAATTGACGTTGAGGCACAAAAATTTGTCGATCATTAAAGGGCCCAAATTTTGCCGACAAAGTAATGCATTAAATTTTTTGATAAAATCAGTGATTAATTCGAATAATGACACTTTGCTAAATTCCAATCCTTGCAACGTTTTGAAAGAACAAAGATAATTAACCAATAATTTAGGTCCCAATAATTGCCCCGATTTTTATTAACTGAAATTATAACGGAGAGGTCAAAATTAAAATTTTCAATTGAAATTAATTTTTTTTTAATAAAAATCTGATTGAAATTTGATGATTACAACAACTTTTTTCTTATAATCTATTTTGGAATATACGAACAATTTCAATTGCAAATGATAATTTTTTCCGTTAGAATTTTTGTTTAAACTCGCTAGCAAAAGTTATATCATATGAATATACGTTAGAATTACAATTGGAATTATATTTAAATACATCATCGTTGTAATTTTCCATTGAAAATTGATGATTTTCTAGTAGTTTTGATGATTTGATGCTTTAAATATAAGGAAAAATAGTTATTTTATTTTGATTTTTTCAAAAGATCAGCTTATATTGTAGCTTTACAATTTATTAATGAATCATAGAGAATAACTGAATAATATAAAGTAGGCGATGGAGTGCGGCATTGGAAATATTGGAATGTGCACGTGTATTGTTTGAGTTCTATTCATTTTATTTTAAATAAAAAAAAGTGGGATTAATTAATTTAGTAAAATATTTTATGTGGATTTCGCTTTCTCCGGCTAAAAAAGGTTTTAATTTTGAAGTATCGGGTTCAATAACGTAGCTAATCGTGTTTGAGCTCGAGTCCTTATAGTGTCGAACCAATTTCAACTTTGTTAATTAAATGATTCGACATAAACTCAATTTGTGTATCAATCTTTATAAGTCGAACTTGAGAATAAGCGAGCCAAACTCGAGTTTAATTTAATGGGTCAATTAACTGAACGAGTTCAAACTCAACTTGTTTAATCAAATAACCTGAGTCATTGCACCTGACACTTTAATGAAATTTCGAAAAAGATTTGGATCCTTATATACATATATATATATATATTTAAAAAAAAACAACAACAAGAAAATCTCAATGGACTTTGATAGCAACACTTTACCAATTATTTATATTTACTTGTTTTTTTGGCTATAAAATGACCGCCGAATTGCAGTGCTTTGAGACAAGCTAAAGTTTGTATATCCTTTTGGAAAATGGCATTAATTAGTTTAGGACTTCAATTACCAATTAATTCATCAAATTGCCTCCTTAATCTTTCCATTTTAACATCAATAGCTTTTAGTTTTATCCTTGCCTTCAACTCGTCATGCTCCGCCTTCAAACGTCCCAAGCATTTCAATTTATCCACGGCCGCCGTGCATTGGTCCTCGGCCGGAGCCACATGGTACGGCAGCCCCGATGGTGCCGGAAGTGACGGTAGGCATTAATCATTTTAATTGATTATATATTAGTGACCATTTTTTTAACAGTATAGATATACGTATTATTTGTGTTTGTAAAATATGATGTGTCGACTCGTCTAGTGATTAAACTGCCTAACAATAATATTCATAAATATATATCATATGATGCATGCAGGTGGGTCATGTGGATATGGAAATCTTGTGTCCCAAGCTCCATTTTCATCACTGGTCACAGGCATTGGGCCGTCACTTTATAAATCTGGCAAAGAATGTGGAGCTTGCTACAAGGTACATATATATATGGGGAAATACTATAATTTCGTTACGGAGTATTCTGTCGGGATTTGTAACCGTTAGATCATCATGTAACCGTCGAGGATATCTCGACGGAATAGTTCCGTAAAGGAACCGAAGCATTTTCCATATATAATTGGCAATTGGATTTATTTGCCCAAGTCTTGGTTCATTCATAAAGTAGTTGAAAAATATTGTTTGCAATCAAAAGCTTTTGTTGTCGCCTTTTATCATATTGGAGAGACTTTTCAAATGTCAAGAAGCCGTTTGACGATTAAGCTAAAGCTAAAGTACAAAAATTAAACCACGTGACATATTATAATGAAGTGAATAAAATTAGTCATATTGCAATTTTCAAATTCAATTTAATTAATTTCACGCAACTAATTATTATTAATCAAGTAACCCAAGATAGTGAGCCCCTTATTTAATTACCCTTAGATACTAAGCATGACCCATAATATATAGGCATATTAAATTTGCATATGTTGTTTCAACCTAAGTGCTTGTTGATATTTCATTTTCTTTAACATTACTATTACTAAATTTATTTATATATATACATTTCTTGTTAAATTTGCATATGTTGTTTCAACCTAAGTGCTTGTTGATAGTTCATTTCCTTTATACATTACTATTACTAAATTTATTTAC